TTATTACAGTACCATGTGCAGTGGGAACATTCTATGATGAAGAAACGCAACAATGCGTGTCCTGTCCTATGGGTACATACCAGAACGAGTCCGGGCAATTAAAATGCAATTCCTGTCCGATAATCGCCGGTCGTCCCAGTGTGACCGTGGGTCCTGGAGCGCGTAGCGCAGCGGACTGCAAGGAGCGTTGTTCTGCCGGCAAATACTACGACGATTTGGGAGGTCTCTGTCGTAGCTGCGGCCATGGATTTTATCAACCAAACGAGGGCAGCTTCTCTTGCCAGCTGTGCGGCCTTGGAAAGACCACGAGAACCGCCGAGGCGGTGTCGAGGGAGGAATGCCGGGACGAGTGCGGATCTGGACAACAGTTAGCCGTCGAAGGAAAATGCGAACCCTGCCCACGTGGCACGTACCGAACTCAAGGGGTACAGGCATCCTGCCAGGCTTGTCCACTCGGCAGAACAACCCCGAATATGGGATCAGCAGCAATCGAGGAATGCTCGCTTCCGGTCTGTGAACCTGGAACTTTCCTCAACGGCACCCTCAACGAGTGTGTGGAATGTAAGAAGGGAACTTATCAATCGGAACCGCAGCAAACCTTCTGTATCCCGTGCCCACCGAATACTAGCACCAAAGGATCTGCTGCTGTAAGTTTTATTCTAAAGTATTAATAAATTTATACGGGAAAAATGATTTTATTAAAAGATTTAAAGTTTTGTTAGATACACAGATCTGAAAATCATTTTCTTGGGCGATCAAAATAATTTTGTTATTCGAATTAATTGCTAAAATAATACAATTTTTTTGCAGCATTGTTCACCATTTTTTCATTTCCAATATAATTATTTTTATCGTCTATAAAATTATCTTAAGATCTATATCCAGTAAAATTTTAGATTTCTCAGCAAAATCGTCCTTTTTTTCACTATATATATATATATTAATTTCATGAATGTAATTTTTCAAGTGAATTTTATATTTTGACAAATTTATTCAATGTAAAATTATTTATCAATGTATGGAAAACTAAGTGTGCCTTCCAACAAGCGGACACAGTGCAATACAGTGATCATGTCATCTTTGTTTAACATTAGCAAACAACAAGGATGTAATGATCCATTGTGTCACATTGTGTCATTTGTGTCGCTTGTTGGAAGGCGCACAATGATAGTACGCCGAACGATGTTTGTTAACAGACAAACAAAGCAGATTGCACGAATCCTTGCGAAACTAGCGGCGAGGAAATGCATTGCGATGCAAACGCCTACTGCTTACTCATACCTGAGACTAGCGATTTCAAATGCGAATGTAAGCCCGGATACAACGGCACCGGAACTGTATGCACGGACGTGTGTCTGGGCTACTGCGACAATGAGGGCGTCTGCCTGAAGGATTCTCGCGGGCAACCTTCATGCAGATGCAGCGGCAGCTTCACAGGCAAACATTGCATGGAGAAGTCCGAGTTCTTCTACATCACCGGTGGCATAGCGGGAGGTGTTATCCTGATCATTCTCGTGGTGCTGCTCGTCTGGATGATATGCGTCAGGTTGGTAAAGAAATTTTATTAATCTATACAAGTGATAACGGTCACATTTGCAACATCAGAAGACTTCTTCTCTTTCATTCGAATATCTTAAGAAATTTTTCAGTAGTTTTTTAGATAATAAATAGAATAAAATAGAATTTTCAAATTTTTATAAAATAATGAACAGTACAAAAGAGGGGTGTAGAAGTCAGCGCGGTACTTTGTGCGCAAAAATGTTATTTAAAAAAAAACCCTTCAATTATTCACCTCATTTGTAATACATATAAATGTTTGCCCGTATGCGTTTTGACTTACTTTTACATCATTATCAACAGAGAGATGAAAACTGCAATTCATGACAAAGCATTTGTGCGAGTGTGCAGTAATTTTGAAACAACTATCAGTCAAATCATCAAAAATTCGGGTCTATCAAAGTCGACTGGCCAGAAAAATCAAAAAATTTCCACATTACAGCAAATTTAATGCAACTCACACAACAGAAACAGATATAAAATATGAATAAAGGATATAAAGGATATAAAAATATAATCAAAACGTAAAATTTTATAAAAAATAACAGTCATTACTTAAAAACTGCTCGCTACTCGGCAAGAGTCAAAATCCATTATTATTTAAGTAAACTATAAATTCGTATTTTATCGGTAACAAGATATATCTTTTCTTTTCTATAGAGCATCTAAGAAGAAAGAGCCAAAGAAGATGCTTACTCCGGCAACTGACCAAAACGGCTCCCAAGTAAATTTCTATTATGGTGCGCCAACACCGTACGCCGAGTCGATAGCGCCGTCACATCACAGCACGTATGCTCATTATTACGATGACGAGGAGGATGGCTGGGAGATGCCCAATTTCTACAACGAGACTTACATGAAAGGTAAGCGAATAACTTTTATAACGAAAATTATGAAAGGTAAACATTCTGAGAAAAATGTAGTAGTGGTAACTATAAAACTGGCAACTGTACCTACAAGTTTTATTGATTAATTTTATAATTCTTTCTCGTTCTCTCTTTTTTTAGAAAGTTTTATAGATTTTTAAATACAAATTAAAACTTTTTAAAAATGTTGAGAAAGTGTCTTTTCTAGAATTTTACCTAACATTTTTCAATTTTTCTAGAATTCTTCATAATTCTTCATTTTAAGATTTCTCATTCCATAACTTGTGAAGAAAAGTCTTGTAAAATTTGAGTTTAAAGAAATCTTTATAAATTTAAAATACGACGAATTCTTAAAAATAATATAAGACAATATGAGAATTTTTTCATCGAAGAACTAATGTAGATAGATAGTTATGAATACACACTTTATACAGTTTTAATAAACCATAGAATAGTTTAATCAACTGTGTACATTAATTCTACGTATATAAAATTTGTATAATTTTCATCTTCATGATTATTACATCTTTTCTTCTGGATGTGGTACGAAATATTTCAAGCCCTATTCAAAACCTATAATATAAAGATTAAAATTAAAATTTCAATAATGTCAGTGCGGCCGAATTATTTATTGCCACGATAAATACGAGATGAATACATAAATAAATAATTGCAACGAGCCTTTACATATATAATTCATATTGCAATGTCGAGAATGTCGAGAATTAATTCTTTTTTCTTTTTTTACACAGAGAGCTTACACAACGGAGGCAAGATGAACAGTCTTGCCCGATCGAATGCCAGTATTTACGGCACGAAAGATGATCTTTACGACAGACTGAAGCGTCACGCGTATACCGGTAAAAAAGGTACAATCCCGCAACTACCCTCGTAATCATATTAATCAACGTCGGCTCATCATACGTGCAGCCATCCGAAAATTACTGCCAACAGGATCGGATGCAACAAAGTCACGCACACGACCGGCTACTTATTTATTAATTAATTTAAGCCTGTGTATTACTCCCTTCGTCTATTTACTATCATTAGAACACGTAACAAATTTCCGCTCCACTTGATTTAATAACAGCAGATTGGAAAACGTCAGCGCGCTATCTCAGAAACGTCTCCGAGCGTGCGGCGCAGCAAATAACATTACGAAATATCCATTTTGCAGATAAGAGCGACAGCGACAGCGAAGGCCAGTGACCGGGTAGAACAATGACTTTCACGCCAACGTAGAATACGAAAAAGCGGGAGATATCAGTGTAATCAGACGGAGCGACGACAATATCTCACATCCTTCGAGCGACGTCGTCGTCGTTGCTCCCCGACCGAGATCAACGGATCTTGTTATTTATTGCATTACCATTCTATACGACGTCGCGCGAGATCCGCGATCGTTCTGAGAGAGAGGCCCGAGATAGAAATCGCGAGATCTCGCGTCGACGCAGAGATGCGCTTCGATCGACAACTATATAGAGCGCAACAGTCCTGGAACGATGATCGGCAGACCGTGCACCGATCGTCGCTTCGGCACGCGTCTGGCAAATTCGAGAGAAAACAAAGAAAAAAGAGAGAAAACAAAGAAATGGAATCCGTCTTTTCAAGTGAAATTCGATGCGTGTTCAATGATTAAAGAGACGCGCGAGGTTGTATTTTTTTGTAATTTAATAGAACGTTAAGGACCCCAGTCCCAACACCATCCCCCTCTTTTTATTAACTCATACCAATCGATGGTGCGTACATGAGAGAAACTGTGTGCTTGTATGTTAATATAACTATACGTACGTGGATTTATATTTTGTTACTCGGAAGGTATACGCATCACGTTGTAATATAATAGTGTGCGACAAGCGCAACGGACAAGTTTGACCAGATTTCAAGTTTGATTTCGGCAACTGGAAGACAGGAAGTTAAAGAGCGAGGAGGGAAGTCTCGTGGGAAGTCGTCCCCGCGACGCCGAGAAGATCCCGTTCATTCGCGATCACCAAAAAACATTGAACATTCACATTCAGTGTACTCTTTCACTCGCGACGATATATCTCTGTAAAAAAAAAAGTAAGGGAATGTGTAGAGTCTCCCAGTGTGACAAACGATATGACCTCTGTGCCTGCGCGGTGAGCGTGCACCAAACGATGCCTACCACGCTGTTTTCCATTTATGTTGTAAAAACTTTTAACAATAGTTGTTTTTTTATTAATAAAATGTATTTCAATAAAACCTCTCGCAGTATCTTATTTCCATTGCACCCCTCTATTCTTATAATTTATTTTATTTATACTGTTTACCTTATTTATATATATATATATATATACATATATATATGCATGTATTTTATTGTTCATATATTTTACTTGTGATTGTGTCTCTTTTTAATATCCAGAAATAATTCTTCTTTTGAGTCTGACCTATTGTTAATTTTGAATTCACTGTCAACAAAAAATTTGAAAAAAATCGCAAAACTTAGATAGCCCATATAGAGTTCAATTAACTTAAGTAACATGCTACGATATTTTATTTTTAGCTCTTATTTTTATATATGTTATATTTTATTTATTATATATTGTTTATATTATTTAATATATTCATATTTTGGTAGATATGTGAAAGTATACTATCGATTTGTCAACCGTCTCGTCAAACCATCTTTATACTTCCGTAACTTTTTTATTCACCTTTATTGGTATTACTTTGTACATTCTCTGCTGACTCAGACTGATTCTGGCTTTGTTATTCAATAGAGACGTGTCGTGTGACATGATTTTATCTGCCATTTCTGGATCAATACAAATATCCACATTGTCATCTATAAAATCAGTAGCGTCACCATCGACTGAGTCACTTCTTTCACGTTCATTGTCTGCAGATTCAATTAAACTTGACCTTTCGCACTCTTCGTTTTCTGTTAACGTAAAGTAGAGAATAGTGTATAAAATGTGTTTTTAAATAGAATAAAATATAAAATAAGAAAAATCCACACTAACTTTTGTGCTTCAGAATATTAAGACCACAAATAACATCTACATCGTTACGATTTTGTTTTAACACTGTTAATAATATAAAAATTGTATTTTTATATCTTGTCCTTTTTATAACTGAATAGTTTTAATTAAACAGCATTTATATATACATGTAATACAATAAAATTAATTGATCCTTACATCGATTTCCAATGTCACGAGCCTTCTTGTAATCTTTTGTCATTAAAGCAATTATGAACTAAACATACAAAGATTGATATATTAATATTTAGCAAAACTAAATTTTAAACTTTATAATAAATATTTAATAATAATTCATTAAATATTATACTAATAATACTTCAATGCGATCTTCATAATTCGCGTTACGTTCTTGGTTCATCGTTGTTTTAAGCGTGTTTTTTACTTTTGCACTTCGATAACCATTTTTAGTCAGAGATAAGAATTTCACAGAATCGCGCTTATCATTATTACAAACAGAATGAGATATAGACTGAGTATTATAACGTATAACATTAATACTTAATAATTTCAATCCTTCGAATCGATAATCTCACTCGTTTGTGCAAACAATTCCAGTATTTTATCAAAAATTTACAAAACGATTTTATGTCATAACCTGAATATAATTTTAGATGCGAGAATATGCCTAAATTAATCAGAAAAACAATTGATACATGTTTATGTATATACTAAGCATACATATATTTGTTAATAACTTTAAATAAATTTTGTCAGAATTAAAATTTTATAAATATCTTCTCGTCAGTTTCTCTGCGATTATATCTCTTTTTAATAATTAATATTAAATGTTACAAAACAAAATCCTCACTGGATTATCATAAACCTGCTGCCATTCGGAAAATCTCATTTTGCAGTTTTGGAAGACTGTAGTAATCTGCGAGATGCCTGCACGATAATTATATACGTGGACGAAAAAGGAGAAGTCGTTGGTATGCGGAATGCGTCATTGCTGAGACCCTTCAAATTTATTCAGTTTCCTCATACGCGAATTCGTGGAAGAAACAGTCTTCAGAAACCGTATCGTATAATCATAAATTATTCCAGAAATCTTTTTTTCATGATAAAGAGGAACGTATCTCTATTTTAGTTTTAAATAGCCTTGTTTGTTCATACAAGTTCAGCTTACGCTTCAACGAAATGGATACATCGAATATAAATATCGCAAAACCATAGGCTATTTCGTTATTCACACTGCGAGTACCGAAAATCTATTCTTCCCATTGATTTCCCAACAATCTTCTCCAACAGAATGTTAAGCAAAGTTTATACGATGCTTTTTTACCAACAATTAACTCAAACAACAGCATAGTTATATTCAAAATATGTTTAATAAATTTTTAAAATTAATTTCAGATGTGTTTAATAACTGTAATATAAACATTTAAAATTTGATACGTTTTTCAAATTATTTAATAAATCTTATAAAAATATTAAAAACGTTTTATAAGACGGTTAATTAATGATTTTTTTACTAGTTCAAAATACAAATTTTTATACAAGACACTTCGATGGTTTAATAAACGTGTTTTAACACTAATAACATCCATTTAACGTTTTTATACACCATAAAAAACGTATCAACTAAATGTTTTTTTGAACATTTATTAAACGTAAAACGGTCTGCATGGATAGCGTGCCAACTAGTCTTAATTCTAATTTAAAAAATCAACAGCTAAAGAAGTACACGTCACTCTATAAATTTAATATATTTTTTGAGAAATCTAGCCAACTAAAAAATTATAATTTATAGAAGTCTGTATTTGTTTAGCTGCCAGTTTTTCTATTTGCTGAAAGCTGATTGCTATAATAAAATCAGAACTGGGATTGAAAATTTTCGGTCCGGATAACGGTTCGAGGCTAAATCCAACTTTTGGTTCCAGTTCTTTTACCGTATCTACCGGTTACCGAGTCCGTTTGGATTGCGATCTTTTTCGATCGTTTTCAATTTCGGTAATTATATACTTGTAACGTCACCGTTATAACTAAAAGAACTGGAATGGACATTAAAACCGAAAGTTAAAAATAGCCTCGGACCATAATCGTGAGGCCGAAGTTTTAATCCATAACGTAACTTCGATCCAAATTCCTGAAAATGTGTAAACCTTGCTTGACTGCATATATAGCAAATTGCAGCATGAGCTTGCACTTGCAACTCCATCTAGCCATCGTCGACTGTGCTTATCGCAACTCGGAATTGCACCGAGGAACGATAACAAATCGAGTGACACACATAGTGATAAAATAGCAACTTGCAACTGCGCTACCATTATGTTACGTACGATTCACGAGAAACATTTAATCTAAATTATTGTTGCAATTTATCTTTATTTTTTATTCTTTTAATAGTATTGCTCATAAATTCTATAATAAAATAATTTAACAAATTATTATTACAAAGATTGAAATATTGGAAAGTAAAGAAACTTTTATTTAAAGGCGTTATTCATCCATTCACATTCATTAGTGTCGACTTGCCCTATTAATTTTCTTATTCGGCACGACTTAACTATTTTTACATCCGATCAGCACGCTTTCACTTGGCGAAGCTTTCAGAGCTCGATGAACGCGCAAGTCGTGTTCCAATTCCACACACACACACATTTATCCATTAATATGTTCCCAATTAGTCTCTCTATGAGTCACATATATATATACATATATATACAATTGATAAAAAATTAAAATGTCATAAATAACGATGATGTCACAAATTAATTAAAATTTCTCTAGCGACATTTTCAAGAGGTTCAGAAGACACTCGAAGAACTGCAAAAGACGCACGAGAAACGCTTGCTCAGTCGGTTGCGGTAAACGACCGGTAAAGTGCAGCGTGAAGAAAAGAAAAAAAGATGGAAAACGCCGCGGTCGGGTGAGATAAACGAGCGATCGCGCGTTGGAAGCAGCATGAGGGAAGAATAAATTATCGACTCCCGGCGAGATTATCGTCTCGAATACCGCACATGACGTGTTCCGGCCGGCGCGGCGCG